GATGCATGGTTGCCATCAATGAGTGATGAGCATGGGTGCCGGGCAACACGATAAGACCCGATGACGAGGAACTCCAGTACACTACGACTCCCTATCATGAATTTCAACAGTTCTTGCTCAGCAAAGCATTATGAAAGATGCCGTCCTGATGGGGAAACGACACGGTGTAGAGAAAGCTTTGAAGTTCATCAGCGCCAACATCCATAGACTGAAAAGGATCCCGGCCCCGATTGGCAGACACGATGGATTCGATAGCAATTTAAAGGAGAAACGGAACACCAAACTTACAATTAGGAAACTCAAGCATCATGATGTAGTTTCTGAAAGAGCGGATTCTGTTCCAAGTTGAGAGCCAGCACAATCTTCAATAAGTCAGGAATGTCATCCAGGTTTGTACATTCTTCAAGGCTCGTGTTCCAAGCAATAAATGGTCCGTCAAGGATGGAGGATTCCTCCAACACGCCATGCACAAAACCCTTCAGCTCTTTTACCATTTCCAAGCTCGCATCAACGAGGCCAAGCATTTACCAGGTGCTAAGGAAATGAAGGGTCACAAGCGACCGAACGAAGGCGGGCGAGAACATGATCGAGTAGTTTTGCCTGTCATACGGTTTATCCTTGCAAGCTGAACAAGCACATCAAAGTCTAGCGTCATTTCGAGTGAATTCTTCGAGAAGAACGTTGCAGCGAGCGTATGGGGACATCTCTGAAGTCGGCCACACCGTGTGCTACTTTGTGTCAAGGCCTCCAAGAGCATTGTGTTAGATTTGGGCGGTACTAACCTTGAGTACGCCCTACTATCTTATTATATATCGTCCATAGAATCGTAGGTTTGATGCATAAGGTCGGCCGTTCGATTGTCAGCTTGCATGATTGAATATCCACCGTAGAATGTGCGTAAAGTAAGCCGTAGGATTGAGTCCATTGTGTATGGGTCTATGGGGTCTTTTGTGATGTGTATTTTGGTGTAGCCGTTCGATGGGTTCTTTTGTAGGCAACGTCGGATAGGAACCGTCGATTTGTCGATTAACACACCTAAGGTAATAGCTAGGCTTGAACTAGGCTATAAGACTTGGACTCATGAATCAAAAGGACCACACTCATTCCTAGTAGTCGTGCACTTGAAAGGCGCTTGCTTTCAGCAGGTTATGGGCCCAAGACGCTAGGGAATGAGGGGAGACTAGTAAGCAATTGCAACAACAATTCCAGGTTGGTGAGAGGTATTCCAGTAGGGGCTAAAGGAGTGGAGTAGCACTCCATCTCGCGACGCTTGTGAAAATACGGACAAACCACTCTCGGCACAAAGGAGTGCCCAACCCAAGAAGTGTTGTTTGTTTTGCTCGCGATAATCATGGCTAAAGGACTCAAGGTTCACATAGGACCTTTAGATGTTGACAACTATACGGTGTGGTCACAGAGGATGCAACTTCTCTTGACACACAAGAGGTTGTGGAAAGGGGTTACAGACCCGGTCGATGATTCGGAGAGGACCGAGAAAGCAAAAGCTTTGATAGGTTTGCACGTCCGGCAACAACACCTTGGGGCAATATTAGACGCTCAGAATGCCACGGTAGCGTGGGACGCGCTCCGCTCGGAAAGACCTACAAGAGCAAAAGTGCGGCTCGGAAGTTGCAACTCCGTCATTGATTGAGCACCTTAAGGTGCAACCCGGTGAGTCCGTTGCCACGTATGTGGGTAGAGCCCAAGACCTTTACTGGGATTTGCTAGCCGCCCGCTTCGATATGAAGCCGGATGATCTATCCTTTAGCGTGCTTGCCGGGTTGTCAAGCCGGTTTGAGGGGGTAGTAACGGTGTTGACAACCACCAAGGAGGAACTAGGCAAGGTGGAAGAGCTTCTCTCGACATTGCAAGTGTTTGAGCAAAGGCATGGGCTTCTTGGAGAGCAAGATAGCGGGGCCTCGGGCTCGGCAACGGCGGTGGCCTACGCGGCCAAAGGTGGCAACTTTGCTGGTAAGGGCAAGGGTGGTCCCGGGAAGGCTTCCATGGCTTGCCACTAGTGTGAAAGGATGGGGCACTTTGAGAGAGAGTACCGGTCCGGGTCTCGTGAGCCGCAGAAGCCCAAGTCGGGAAGAAAGTGCTACATATGCGGTAGCTCGGACCACTTCAAGAGGGAGTGCCCAAAGAAGGGGAAAACTGGGGGCCGGCAAGGGGTTGCCTTTGTAGCCGGGTAAGGGGCGGAGACCGGAAGGTGGATTGTTGACTCTGGGGCTAGCCAACAAATGACGGGGGTCAAGAGCTCGTTCTCAACGTTGGAGATGCTTGAGCCGGGGACTCGCGCAATCAAGTTTGGGAACAAGGGGTTCATTGAGGTAGCCGGGGTGGGCACGGTGGAGTTGCGATGCAAGACGCCGGAAGGTGAGCAAGTCAACCTTCTCCGTGAGGTTGCCTATGTCTCGGTGTGGCGGAGAACCTTTTCTCCGTCAAGGAAGCCACCGCGGTAGGAGCCGAGGTTGTGTTCCATGGGTAAGTGTGCGAGGTTTCCATGGATGGAAAGGTTGTGCTTCGGGTGGAGGAGAATGCGGAGGGGATGCCCGTTGTTGTCAACCGAAGACAACGTGGGAAGATACTTGCTTGCTCGTGAGGGAAGCCGAGAGCCCGGTGTTGTGGCACCGGAGGTTGGGGCACGCCGGGTACGAAAGCCTAGCCAATCTGGTTGATGGGGGACGCGGTCCGGGGTGTGGGAGTCAAAGCGGAGGCACTCCGGAGCAAAAGAACCTCGGTGTGTGAGCCTTGCATCATCGGAAAGGAAACCCGTGAGCCCTTCCCTAAGGAGTCGGACTCCAAGGATAGCAAAGAACCCCTAGAGCTCGTGCACATGGACGTGTGCGGGCCCATGCCGGTGACGTCAAAGGGGGGGAGTAGGTACTTGGCCACTTTCCTTGACGTCTATAGCAAGCTTTCGGTGGTGCAACCGATGAAGCGGAAGAGCAACGTCACGGCGGTCACGGAAAGCGTGTTTGCCCGCTTAGAGTTGCAATCCGGGAAGAAAGTCAAGGGGGTGCAAACGAACCGGGGCGGGGAGTACGTCAACGAGGGAATGACGGCCCTTCTCGGGAAGAGAGGGACGGTGCACCGCACCACGGCCGGGCACTCTCTCGAACAAAACGGTTCGGCGGAGCGGTTGAACCGGACGCTCGAGGAGAGAGCGCGGGCTTTGCTAGAAAATGCTGGGTTGGGGCCGGATTTGTGGGCGGAAGCGATGGTGACGGCCAACTACACCCGGAACCGGGTTCCATCGAGCGTGCACGGCAAGTCCCCGTGAGAGATGTTCTGCGGGGAGAAGCCAAACCTTAGCCACTTGCGGGTGTTTGGGGCGCGGGCCTACATCCACGTGCCCAAAGGGAGCCGGAAGAAGATGGAGCCGGTGAGCGAGCGACGGTGTTCTTGGGGTAAGAGCCCAAGTCCAAGTCCTACCGGGTCCTCCAAGAGCGGGACGGTAGGATTTTGACTTCCCACGATGTCATCGTGGATGAGCGCGGGCCCTCCGTTCGTTGAGCTTGGCTCCGATTCGAAGAAGGAGGAGGGGGTGCTCGCGGCCCTAGTCGTGCGAGCCCCTCGACTCGGATGGGTGTAGAGGCTATCCCTACGGGGAGGCCGACACTCAGCCCGGTGTAGGGGCTACTCCTACGGGGGAGGCCGACACCGGGAGCGAGGAATATCCGTTGAGGGGGACGGCGCTCAAGAGGAGACGGCGAGAAGATACCCCGCACGCGAAAGGCGGGCGCCCGGGGAGTGGTACCGAGCGAATTTGGCGGCGGAAACGGGGGAGCATCCGAAGGGTTCGGGGGAGCATCCGGAGCCGCAAACGTAACAAGAAGCCGTAGGGGGAGAAGAGAGCAAAGCGAGCTCTTGCGGAAGTCCATGGACGAGGAGATGCGGTCCTTGTTGGAGAACGGGACGTGGAAGCTTGTTGAAATACCGGAGGGGGTGAAGCCGGTTCCCATGAAGTGGGTTTACAAGATTAAGCGGGATCCGCTTGGAAACGTGGAGCGGTACAAGTCGCAACTCGTGGCGAAGGGATACACTTCGAGGAAGTCTATGCTCCCGTGAGCAAGCACACCACGTTGCGAGCGCTCCTAGCGGTGGTCGCAAAGCGCGACTTGGAGCTTCACCAATTGGACGTCGAGACGGCGTTTCTCAACGGGGAGCTCGAGAAGGCGATCTACATGCAACAACCGCAAGGGTACGAGCAAGGCGGGCCCAACGTGGTTTGCCACCTCAAGCGCACCTTAAACGGGGTGCGCCAAACGCCGCGTGCGTGGCACACGCGCTTGAAAGAGGAGCTCGGGAACTTTGAGTTCGTGGCGTCGTTGGCGGACACGGCGCTCTTTTCGGGAGTGGTGGACGGGGAGCGGATTTACCTCATTGTGTGGGTGGACGACATTCTCGTCGCGGCCCTGGGGGGCGGAGCCGATTGCGAAGGTGAAGGCGCACTTGGCGGAGAAGTTCGACGTGCCCGACTTGGAGGAGGCGACCTACTCCCTCGGGATGGAGTTGGCGCGCGATCGGGACGCGCGTACTTTGAAGCTCACACAGAAGAAGCTCACGGGGGAGCTTATTAGGCGGCACGCGTTGGCGGGCGCAAGAGCGCGCTCGGTCCTCCTTGGGGCGGGGAGAAGTTGACACGAGAGGGTGAGCCGCTCGACACGGCGAGATTCCCCTATAGCGAGCTTATTGGAAGCTTGTCGTACTTGAGCGTGTGCACACGGCCCGACATCGCTCAAGCCGTGGGTGCTTTGGCGCGCTACACGAGCGCGCCAACAGAGGCGCACTGGGCGGCGGCGCTTGGGGTGGTGCGCTACTTGGTGGGCACGGCGGGAGCCGGAATAACCTTCGGGGGGAGCGGCGAGGTCCTCGAGGAGTTTTGCGACGCCAATTATGCAGGGGACATCAACACAAAGAGTTCTATGACGGGGTACGTCTTCTTGATGTACGGGGGAGCGGTGAGTTGGTCGAGCCGTCTTCAACTGACGGTGGCGGCCTCGACGGTAGGGGCGGAGTATATGAGCGCGGAAAACGCCGTGAAAGAGGCGTTGTGGTTCCACAAACACGGGGGAGATCTCGGGTTGGACCTCGGAACGGTCCTAATTCATTGCGACAACCAAGGGGCAATACGGCTCCTCAAGCATCCGATCGCTTCGCAGCGATCGAAGCACATTGACGTGATTCATCGGTTTGCGCAGAAGCGGGTGGCGCGGAAGGAGGTCGAGTTCGCGTATTGCAAGATGGAGGACATGAAGGCGGACATCTTAACCAAGGCGTTGGCACCCGGAAAGTTCTTGAAGTGCAAGAAGAAATTGCATAGGATACTTAGTGCGTGGGGGAGTGTCAGATTTGGGCGGTACTAGCCTTCAGTACGCTCTAATATGCTGTGACATATCGTCCATAGAATCGTGGGTTTGATGCATAAGGTCGGCCGTACTTGCACGATTGAATATCCACCGTAGGAGGATGTGCGTAAAGTAAGCCGTAGGATTCAGTCCATTGTGCATGGGGTCTTTTGTGATGTGTCTTTCGTGTAGCCGTTCGATGGGTTCTTTTGTAGGCAACGTTGGATAGAAACCGTCGATTTGTCGATTGACACACCTAGGGTAATAGCTAGGCTTGAACTAGGCCACAAGACTTGGACTCATGTATCAAAAGAACCACACTCATTCCTATGAGTTGTGCACTTGAAAGGCGCTTGCTTCAACACATTGTGACCGCAGAAAGCGTAGCAAATCAACTTAGTGAAAGCCTGACGGCATCGAGTTTTCTAGTTGGTAAGAGTTGCAGGCTAGCAAGACATGCCAATGTCGGCGAACAACCTCCGATTCAGTTCGCCGCGGCGCAGAATCCAAGATCTCCATAATTTCCAGAGCCCGTACTTGGAGCCATGGTAGACATGAAGGAAAATGAAAAGATAACGTATGAGACGAGGCGTGTCACCAGGAACAGATGCGAAGCGGAGAGTACGACGTGTGCTTAGAGATTCAGCTTTGGAGAGGGGTACAGCCAAAGCCCAACATCGGAATGTCCACGACTTGACACCTTCGAAGGATGATGCCGATGTTCGCCAACACAGCATCTAGATGTGCCCAGAAGATGCGGAGCCTGCTTTAGAGTCTAGAAGTTCAGCAGATGCCATGGTCGAGGTTCCAGCAAAACCCTGAAATCTGTTCTAGAGATCTGCCATGTTCTGAAGGTCTACCAGAGGGGCCAAGCCTTCGTGGTAAGGTGTATTTGTACAGAGTGTCAAGCAAACCATCAATGCGCAAGGCTCTTTCGTCGTTGTGATCCAAGAATGACACGGCGCGGATGTAATCGAAGCATACTGAGAGCTCGTCAGCAGGGTGGGGAGATAATGGGCGGTCATATTCATGTTGTTGCCTTTTTTCTACTATTGCATGCAGGGCTCAGCAGCCATTGAATCTCCGCGCGGATTTAAGTGGCTGGCGCTTCCTCGCGTTACATCATAGATGGTTATAGGATCGATGATGGTGGTGCCACCAAACTTAGCATGGATCTCAACCCTGTCTTCTGACACTATTTATCGCGCATTTGGTGCGACCCTTCTCCCAACAAATTGTCACCGAAATCGTCGCACCGAGACCGCGTACCTGATGTCTGTAGCAAAATTTTGAGGTTTGTCTCACAGACTTGACAAAGCTTCAGACAATTTGGTGCGAATGTTTTCGAATCTAGGCGGGTTGATGGACGGACGGACACCACAACGCCGATTGATGCAATCAACTAGCTCTCTTGGTGTCTTCTAATTGGGAAATTGCAAGCAGACTCGTAGTGTCGACATAGCTTCAGACCAATCGGTGCGACTTTTCCAAAAACATGTGGGTTGTGGAACGGAAGGACACCAGAATGCCTGTATGGGGCAGAGCTCTCCATCCTTGGTGCCCAACTCGGAGATTTGACACCGGACGGGAGTCTTACAATGTTCGTTATTATTGACACCAAAAAAAGAGGCATAGGACCGGTAATAGTCGAGCAGCGACGGTGGCGCCAAGCAGCCAATCAGGTCGCGTAGAGCTCGAAATCGAGTCACTAAGAGCCCCCTAAAGAAATAGAGCGGAACTAGCCTCGAAATCCCGCTTGATTCGATCACAATTTGGTCCTCAATCAACCTTAAATCCCAATAGAATATCGACGGTAGGATGGGAAGTTATTTGGTGTTCTATTCACGCAATATTGACCGTCCGATCGTGAGTCGAGTCGAGTGATTTGGGAGCCCCGACCACTAGTGTGTAGTAGACCGAGTAGTAGTACGGTACTACCGACACCTCGGTGTAGTACTACGGACCACAAGTAGGAGTATTTAGCCCATAAAGCGAGTCGTATAGTGACCCGAGTGAGTCGTACAGGGATCCGATCACTTGAATAGGATTTCATATACTTGAATTGACTAGTGTCCGGTAGAGGTGGACTAGGCTAGTAAGACTAGGGTTCATCTACGTACGGATTTGGAGTGCCTTGGGTATTGCCATTTAATGGACACTCAGATCCCGGTAGTTGTGAACTTGAAAGGTGCTTGCTTTCAATAGGTTATGGGCCCACAACGCTAATGAGTGAGGGAAGAGTAGTAAGCCATTGCTAGCAATGACGATTCAAGGTTGGTGAAAGGTATTCAAGTGGGGGTTAAAGAAATGGAGAAATACTCTATCTCGCGACGCCCGTGAAAATACGCCCAAACCTTTTCCGGTACAAAGGAGTGCCCAGCCCAAGGAGCGCTGGTTGGCTAGCGGTAAAAATGGCTGAAGGAGTTAAGGTCACATAGAGCCTCTGAATGTTGACAACTATATGGTGTGGTCACAGAGAATGCAACTTCTCTTGACGCACAAAAAGATTTTAAAAAGGGTCATGGACCCGGCCGGTGATGCGCAATGGACCGAGTAAGCAAGAGCTTTGACAGGCTTGCACGCTCGGCAACAGCATCTGGGGGCAATCTGAGCAGCTAAGAATGCCAAAGTAGCGTGGGACGCGCTGAAAAAGACCTACAAGAGAAAGAGTGCGGCTCGGAAGTTGCAACTCCTTCATGATTGAGCACCCTCAAGATGCAATCCGGTGAGTCCGTTGCCGCCTATAGGGGTAGAGCCCAAGACCTTTACCGGGATTTGCTAGCCGCCCGTTCCGATGTGAAGCCGGATGATCTATCCTTTAGCGTGCTTGCCGACTTGTCAAGCCGGTTTGAAGGGGTAGGAACGGTGTTGACCACCACCAAGGAGGAGCTAGGCAAGGTGGAAGAGCTTCTCTCGACGTTGCAAGTGTTTGAGCAAAGGCATGGGGTGTTTGGGGAGCGAAATAGCGGGCCTCGGGTTCGGCAACGGCGATGGCCTACGTGGCCAAGGGTGGCAACTTTGCCGGCAAGGACAAGGGTGGCCCGGGAAAGACTTCCATGGCTTGCCACAGGTGTGGAAAGTTGGGGCACTTTGAGAGAGAGTGCCGGTCCGGGTCTCGATAGCCAGAGAAGCTCAAATCGGGGAAGAAGTGCGGTAGCCCGGACCTTTTCAGAGGGGTTGCCCAAAGAAGGGGGCTACCGGGGGCTGGCAAGGGTAGCCTTTGTAGTCGGGGAAAGGGCGGAGACTGGAAGGTGGATTGTTGACTCCGGGCCTAGCCAACGCATGACGGGGGTCAAAAGCTCCTTCTCAACGTCGGAGATGCTTGGGCCGGGGACTCGGGCAATCAAGTTTGGGAACAAGGGGTTCCTTGAGGTAGCCCGGGTTGGCACCATGGAGTTGCGGTGCGGGACGCCCTCGGAAGAGCGGGTTAACCTTCTCCGTGAGGTAGCGTACGTTCCGGGTGTGGCGGAGAACCATTTCTCGGTGAAAAAAGCAACCGCGGTATAGGGGTCGAGGTTGTGTTTAGCAGGGAGGTGTGCGAAGTGTACATGGACAGGGAGGTCATGCTTCGGGCGGAGGAGAATGCGAAGGAAATTTCGGTGATTTGCCAACCGAGGGCAACGTGGGAGGACACGTGCTTGCACGTGAGGGAAGGCGAGACTCCGGTATTGTGGCACCGGAGGTTGGAGCACGCCGGCTATGAGAGCTTTGCCAAGAGGGTCGAAGAACGAGCGGTCCGGGTTGTAGGGGTCAAAGCAGAGACCTTCCAGGAGGAGAAACCCTCGTGTGCGAGCTTTGCATCATGGGGAAGCAAACCCGGGAGCCGTTTTCCATGGAGTCGAACTCCAAAGAGAATACGGAGCCACTCGAGCTCGTGCACATGGACGTGTGCGGCCCATGCCGGTGACGTCAAAGAGGGGGAGTAGGTACTTGGCTACTTTCCTCGACTACTATAGCAAGCTTTCGGTGGTGCAATCGATGAAGCGAAAAAGCGACGTCACGGCGGACACGGAGAGCGTGTTTGCCCGCTTGAAATTGCAATCCGGGAAGAAGGTCAAGTCCGTGCAAACGGACCGGGGCGGAGAGTACGTCAACGAGGGAATGACGGCCCTCCTCGGAAAGAGAGGGACGGTGCAACGGACCACAGCGGGACATTCTCCCAAACAAAACGGTTTGGCGAAGCGGTTGAACCGGACGCTCGAAGAAAGAGCGCACGCTTTGCTGGAGGACGCCGGGTTGAACCCGGAAGTGTGGGCGGAAGCGATGGTCACGGCTAACTACACCCGGAACCGGTTGCGGGCTCGAGCGTGGACGGCAAGACCCCGTGGGAGATGGTTCACATGGAGAAGCTAAATCTTAGCCAATTGCGGGTGTTTGGGGCGCGGGCCTACATCCACGTGCCCAAGGGAAACCGGAAGAAGACGTCAAAGTGAGCGAGCGCGGGGTGTTTTTGGGCTACGAGCCAAACTCCAAGGCATACCGGGTTCTTCGGGAGCGAGATGGTAGGAATTGACCTCCCGCGATGTGATCGTAGATGAGTGCGGATCCTCTGTGGTTGTTGAGCTTGGCTCCAACCCGAAAAGGAAGAGGGGGGTGCTCGTGGCCCTAGTCGTGTGAGCTCTCCGACTCGGATGGGTGCAGGGGCTATCTCTACAAGGAAGGCCGGCACTCAGCCCGGTGCAAGGGCTATTCCTACGGGAAAGGCTGGCACCGAGAGAGAGGAGGCTAATTATCCGCAGAGCGGAAGCGAGGAGAGCGGATTGCCCAGGGGGGATACGGAGTATCCCGCGGACGATGAGACGGCGGACTACGCGTAGATACCCCGCTAGAGCGAGGCGGGCGCCTGGGGAGTGGTACCGGGCGAATATGGCGGCGGAGTCGGGGGAGCACCTCAAGGGGTTGGGGGGAGCATCCGGAGCCCCAAACATATCAGGAAACCGTAGCGGGGGAAGAAAGCGAGGTTTGGCGGAGGTCAATGGACGAGGAAATGCGGTCCTTGTTGGAGAACGGGACGTGGAAATTGTCGAAAAACCGGAAGAAGTGAAGCCGGTTCCCATGAAGTGGGTTTACAAGATTAAGCCGGATTCGTTTGGGAAGTGGAGCAATATAAGTCTGGCGTGGTGGCCAAAGGGTACCTGCAAAAGCAGGGAATTGACTTCGAGGAAGGCTCCGCCCCCGTGAGCAAGCACACGACTTTGCGGATGCTCCTTGCGGTGGTCACGGAGCGCGATTTGGAGTTGCACCAATACGGCGTTCCTCAACGGTGAGCTCGAGGAGAAACTTTACATGCAGCAGCCGCAGGGGTACGAGCAAGGCGGACCCGGGATGGTTTGCCGCCTCAAGCGCACCTTGTACGGATCGCATTAGGCTCCGCTGCGCGGCACACGCGTCTCAAGGAGGAGCTCGGGAACTTCGAGTTCGTGGCGTCCTTTGCAGTTGCGGCGCTCTTTTTGGCAGTGGTGAATGGGGTGCGTGTTTACCTTATCATGTGGATTGACGACATCCTCATCGGGGCCCAATGCAGGGAGCGGATCGCGAGAGTGAAGGCGCCCTTGGCGGAGAAGTTCGACGGGCGGGACTTCTGGGAGGCGACGTACTTCTTTGGGATGGACCTGTCGCGCGATGCAAAGGCGCGCATTATAAAGCTGACGCAGAAGAAGCTGACGGGGGACCTACTCGCACGGCACGGATTGGCAGGCGCGCGGGTGCGCTCGGTCCTTCTTGCCACCGGGAAAAGCTTGACGAAGGAGGGGGCGCCGCTTGACATGGCGAAGTTCCCCGTAGCGAGCTTCTTTAGCGTTTGCGTTACTTCAGCATGTTCACACGGCTTGATATCGCCTAGGCCGTGGGAGCACTGGCGCGCTACACAAGCGCGCCAACGGAGGCACACTGGGCGGCGGCGCTCATGGTGCGCTACTTGGCCGGAACCGGATAACCTTTGGGGGGAGCGACGAGGTTCTTGAGGGATTTTGCGACATGAATGTTGCGGCGCGGCGCGGACACAAGGCGGTGCACGACCGGGCACGTCTTCTGTGAATTTTGGAGGGGCGGTGAGTTGTTCAAGCCGTCTGCATCCAACAATAGTAGCGTCAACGGTGGAGGCGGAGTACTTGAGTGCGGCGCAGGAGGTTAAAAGGGCGTTGTGGTTCCGCAAGTTGGGGGAAGGTTTGGGGCTGGACCTAGGGACGGTTCAGATCTATTGCAACAAGCAAGGGGCGATACGGCGCCTGAAGCATCCGATCGCTTCACAGCAGTCGAAACACATTATCTGTTTCTTCACTCTGCGCGGGAGATGGTGGAGCGGAAGGAGGTCGGATTCGCGTACTCCACACGGAGGACATGAAGGCGGACACCCTAACCAAGGCGTTGGCAGCGGGGAAAATCTTGAAGTGCAAGAATGAGATAGGGGTTTGCGTAGGATACTTAGTGCGTGGGGGAGTGTTAGATTTCGGTTGTGCCATTCTTTCGTGAGTACGCCCCAAGATCCTAGATGATCTCGTAGCCGCTTCATTGAGTTTGATAGAGTGATAATTACCCCATTGTTAAATATCCCACTGGCTATTACCCCACTGGCATTCACCCCATTGGCAGTTACCCCACTGGCAGTTACCCCCACTGGTGGTAGTTACCCCCTAGGCCAATGTGGACCGTTGCATAGGCATCTTTGTGGAATCTTGAAGGCTAGGCCGTTGATGTTTGGTTGATTCGCGCAGATCGAGAATCTCACTATCTGTTCTGAGCAGACAACCCCAATGTTTCGTCAGTCTACACATATAGAGCTAGAGGTGGACTCGACCAAGACTAGAGTAGATCTAGCCACGGATTTATGACTTGGACCATTGACTTGTATCAATTGGTTACTCCTTTCTAAACGTTGTGCTTGACTTGAAAGGCGCTCCAAGACGCTTGCTTTCAACACTCTTCGAAGCAAGCAGTGGAAGAAGAACTTGCGGCAATCGAAAGTGCTCAGTTCCAGCTGCTTTCAGAGGATCAGAATGCACAAGGTCCGTTTGATTGAATATGGTGTTCAAAAAGAGGCGATAGAAGAGGAAGCCAACTCGGAGGTGTTTTCTGCGCGGGAGCAACAATCTGAAAAAGCCAAAGTGAGTGGAGCAACAGCCGACTCGGATGTTAGTCCTTCAGAGCCCGATGTCCAGGCCCCAAAGCGCCAGAAGGTGGGCTTGTCAAATACTCGGATTTGATTGAAGATCAGGCCATCTTAATTGCTTTGAGGACAGCGGCTAGTCGAGTAAAAGGTCTAGAAAGCTCGAATCAAACTCTCAAGCAACAGTTGAAAAGCTTATGGGACTTTAAAGCGGATGTTGCTTCGACCGTTCTTGCAAAGACGATCGACAAAGAGGCAGTTGAAAACTTTCTCATAGCACGCAGGCTGTTTGAAGAGGCAGGGGTTGTGGACATGCTTCCTCTATTAGAGCGCGCGATCATCAGCAGCGCCCTAAGTTCCCCTCAGGAGCACCTTGAGCGACTACTTCCAGGCAGTGGCTATAAATCTAAACTAGTCTAACACAAATCTGTGGCGATTCTCTAGAAGGTTCAAACGTTGTGTGGCTTCACGTCAAGGGCTGCCTTAGATCATTCCGCCTTAAGGTCGCTGCGAGGACCAATGAACGCTAATACTAATAAGTCGCACCACAGCAGCAGCAACGGCAAAGATGAATCTCACGAATCCTTCCAAACAGGCGTTGCAGCAATTCGAAGCCAAGAATAGCGTGGAGGGGCATGCCTAGCAGGAGCGTTTGGCAGAAATGAAGAATCTGGAGCAAACCCAAATGGCAAAGAGGCAGGTTGCGAAAGGGAAGGACGACGTCCTCCACGTGCGGCTGTCTTGGGACGAGACGGACCGTTGCTAAGAGTCTTTAGGCTGTTGTGGGGAAGACCTTTATGGGCAGACATAACACCCACGTAGCCCCTATTCTAGACAGCCTCGTTTCAGCTCCGGATCCGAGAAAAGTCAAAATGGAGTGGAGGCGACTGATCGCGAGCATTCATCGAGCAAGGAACGTTCTTGTAGACGACTCTGATGTCGACTGGACCGGAAGATGTTTTGCTAGCAGACCAGTGCCTCACTGAGAACCTCTCGAGATTGAAGTCGAAGGAGACGGGCATCAACGCAAGGATTGCGAAGAAGGAGAAAGAGTACCAGAGACGTCTTCGTGCAAAAGCAGCCGCGAAAGAAATGATCCGGCCGCAAGACAGCCATTGGCTCTAGAGCTAGATGCAAAGCAGCTTGCTGAAATCAACAAGCTCAGCATTCAAAAGCAGACCCTGGTCGGCACTTACTTTGGAGTCGAGAAGGTCGTGAAGTGTGCGGCCAAAGTTTGCCGCGCATAGCCCCAAGACTTGGGCTGTGGCAGTGCACGTCTAAATGCATTTGAGATCCCTGAGGAGGGGCGGCCGGACGGTGGCAGAAGGGAGGAGGATGCGGGAAGCGGACTGTAAGGCGAAACACCGGCTGGGAAAGAGCAGACGAAGCTCGAAAAGCTCCATGTCCTCGTGGGTTTAGCTGGCTTTCTGGACAAGTTTTCCTCGAGAAACGAGTTGCAGCCGCGAAGCCTTTAGAATTGCGAGCGCAAACGCTAGATCAGCAAGCCTCGGTAGTTGTCGCCCGCCTTATTTCTCGATGTCAAGCTCGACCAAAAAGCAATCGGGGTTCTGGTTAACTGGATTACGGGCCATATCGTCGCCATCTTCGGGGGGAAGTTGCGACCGTTGTGGACATCAAGCGATGGTGAGCATCATAACGTCATTTTCGAAGTCGACTGGCCAACCACAAATTGGAAGCTAGCTCGGGTTCGCGGGGGGAAGGTCGATGCTTCTTCCAAGGAGGTCTGCTTGCGGCTCTTCCCGAAAGAGACCTTTCGGACCCTCAGAAGCAAACGTTCAACCATGAGCTGCGTGCGCGGTTGCTCGAGGTGATGCCACGTGTCCCTCCGGCAAAGGTTCCGGTGCGAGGTTTGAATCTGCACGGGCCCGCTTCAAGCCTTCGGCCGTCCCCGGTGCTAGAGCTGGTTGCAGGGTCCGCCAAAGCTATGAAGTTGACGGCGTTGAGAACGTGAAGCGCTTGGACAGAGCTGGCTCGTCGCGGTGACATCATCAAGAAGCCGCTTAGGAAGGCAGCTTTTTCCCCTGCTCTCCGCATGGTGATAGGCAGCTGCTTCTATTCGTTTCGCAAGCCTCACCGCCCCGCACCTTCAGCGCGAAGCCGCTGTCGCAAGACTGTTATTAGAAGCCCTAAAGCTCACCTCCCTAGGTTCGCCTCAGCCTGCCTTTCTTGAGCCCGAGGACTTCCTTGTCGCTCCTTGTGAAGGGACATGAGGAGCAGAGTGTAATTCCTCTCTTCAATCAGAAAAGTTGAGGGTAAAGCTCTCCAGAGGTGGGCGGCAAAGGCTTCTGAGGATGACGAGCTGATCGACGAACAACAAAGGAACGCTTTGCTACTAGCCGCGAAGCCCGGCGGTCCATCTTATGCCAGCGTAGCTTCGTCCCCAGTAGCTTTCGAGACTGCAGCCTTGCTTCCCCACAGTTGGCAGCGATGCAGCAGTACTCGGATTGGCAGTGGCACCAAAGCTAGAGCTTCCCTCCGAGCTGCAGGCGAAGTACGAGGCCATGCTCGCCCTCCGCCCCCTTTCTTCGCTGACGCAACTCATGTCCAAGCTCGACAAGTCTTGCCAGCGAATGCAGCTCTTACTGGAGGCCGCATCGAGTCTCCTTCGACAATTCCCTTTTTTGCTTCGCGAATCTACCTCGGTTCCGTCTCGGCCCACCTGGAACCTGGATGCTTCTCGTCCGAGGACTTCATAAACCCCTCCCTGAAGAGACAAATTAACGGCGCGAACTGGGGCTGGTCTTACGGACTCACTTCTTTTGGCAACACCGAGTGGTCCTTAGTTGGGCAGGTTTTGAAAGCAGGACAATCCATTGGAGGGGAACTTTATCAAAAATCGAAAGATCACGCCCAAAGATGTAGTTGAGGAGTTGAAGCAAGCGCTCTTCGAAAAGCGCAGGTTGGAGGTGCTCGAATTCTTAACCCACACTTTTGTTCCGGCCGTGCATCCTCAAAGCGGAGAGCTTCTGTCGCCGCGTTGATAAAAGGACCGTGAGACCAAAAACTGTGGTCAGGCGTGCGCTCGTCTGCCCGCAAGTCTAGAACGTAGCGCCTTAATGCTTGATAAAAGGGCGCTTCCGATGGTTGCGGAGCAAGTGCCTCAGCTGCAATTTTTTCTCCTAGTTCTCAAGGGTGCAGTTGATTCTCAGCGTACCGCTTCAAGTTTGTCGCGCTCTTCATAAATAGGGCGCCGCAAAACGCTCTTACTAGAAGCAGAAGCATAGAAGAAGCTTGATTTTCAAAGTGTTGGGGGAACACATCGGGCGTGCGACCAACGGGGCCATACTGAGAGAGCCCCTTCACCAAGCGAAGTTTCTCATGCATTGCCTCTTTGGGGAGAGTGCGTACAGCGTGGTAGCCAAGCATCCACAGGTGAGCCAACATTGGACGTTTGGTTGTTGGCAGCTTTGTAACTGCCAACGTATCAAAGCAAGCTGGTGTTCCTTTTGGCAGGCTCAGATGGGGTTCAAAATTGTTCAAAAGCTTTGGGTCTAGTAGTGTGCGATCAAACTTCGGTTGAAAGCTGCAGCTCTTATTGCCCATCTTTTCAAGGTCATCGAGTTGCTACACCAAAGAGAAATATATAAGGTTGATGATTTAGATCCGACGAGTCTCTGCAAACCCGCGCGCGGCCGCATCTTCCGCTCCCACGTGATGGGCCTGCCGGCACGGACGCTTTTCGACATGCTGACGAATGCGGATGCGCACAGGCAATTCGTTAAGGCGTATTCAAACCATGAGCAGAACTTGAAACTTTGGCTCGTGCCCCAAGCCTTGATTCCGAGCCGAAACTGAATGAAAAAGGCAGAACGCGAGCGGTGCCTTGAGGCCCGAGCT